TTCCTTAAAATAAGTGCATTTGGTCTTGAATTGAGGAGGTAAATGAGACACTTTGCGAATGGAACAAGACAATTTACAATTAAAATAAGAAAAAGCAGCTGCATTGTTTTATTAAAAGTGCATATAATCTAATTATGTTATTTTAAGGGTAAAAATACTCATCCTATTGGCAAATCATCCCATTTACCTACTAAAATTAAGGGTAAATACACTTGATTTAAGAAGTTTTTTACTTATTTCTAGATAATTTTTGCAGCGTGACATGCATCAGTTAACCTCAAAAGTTTATTCTCTAGAGTTAAGCCCAAAACTTGCATTTTGTTGACTTTGCATTTTCAAAATGGAATCAGGGTTGTATGTTTTACCACCCTCTCTAAAAGTGTATTTTTACATCAAGGGGGAAATCTCTAAGAGGAGGTGATGCCAGATTTCTGCAACCTTTGGGTCATGCCCAGAATACTCTCTTCTAAGAACTATGCAACAGCAAACCTGTCTTTGACAACAACAGTGATGCTGAAATATCTTGACATTTACAAAGATTCATGGCAAGAAAAACAAAAATAGGCTGTAAAGAATTTTTTTACTGAGGAGCGAACATCAAATAGACTAAATCTGAAAACAGTTATGATTTTTTTTTTATATTAGTTATTACTCACTGCAATTGTTTTGTTTTTATTTAACTGGTTATTGTAATAACGGTGGGATTATAAACATCATGAATTTCATTTAACCTCTAATTCATTGCATCAGTAAAGTCATCTTTCATTCTATTTTTTTAACTGGGTTGCTCTCACTTTAAAACAGACAAGGCTCAGAAGTAAAGGGAGTTGATACGTGTCGAATTGAAGGACACAAGTCTTAAAATCCAGCTATAGGCTCTAAATGAGATGGTTTGTATTTGACATAAGTATCTTTTGATGTAAGATGGTGTAGGGATGTTAGAAAAACAAAGAATAGTTTTTGCAAAAGTCAGCTAGAATAAGTTCTCTGATCTTTCCACTGCAGAAGATATGACCTTATTAACATGCTCATATCACATTTGCATCAACACATATTTTCTGCTACCCTCTGTCCATCTCTGTTACTGAATCTGTTAGTGACATGAGCCGACGTCCCCATGCACCATTCAGTATTCACCTTGCAGTCTGTTTAGTATGCCAGGCCTCCTTTCTGAGCTCCACAGGGCCTCCTTGACAGCTGAAGGATAGTTAACCGGAGCAGACAATGGGCAAGAATTAAATATAAGGCCAGGACAGGCAAAAGAAGAGAAGAAAAATTGGAATTGGTTTTCTCCTCCCTGTCAGTGTAATTTATAGTGTGGAAATAGTCTTTGTTATTTCTTTTTTCAATCAAATATGACAAGATCCATGAATCAAAAATAAAAATTTTCAAATTCTAAATCTAATAACATTTTTATTTTGTATTTATTTGCTAGTTTGATCATTATCTAAGCAAATATTCCATATATGTTAATCTAAATGTAAAGAAAAACCTTTCATTGTTGTGTTATAACTGATCTACGGTATTTGAAAGTATTTGAAAGTAGACAGACACCTTAATACTCTTAATCAGCTCTGTTAAAGATATTTAAAAACCTTAGAGTTAATTTAACGAAGGAGCCTGGGGTATTCCACTTGTTGCTTTGGTTCTGTATGATTTGGATTCTTCTTTTTTTTTTTTTTACTTTCTTTTATGATCATAAACCTGGCTCCTTGTTCAGCCAAATTTGTTAGAGTTGTTTCTGGTTTTAGGCCATGTTCATCATCTGGGACATCAGCAATCTACTATTGAAGCTCAACATCAGCCCTCAATTCTTTTCTCACTATTGTTAAAAAATGTCTCTTACCCCAATGTGACCTTGGCATGGAGGTGGAGCTAAGAGTGGACGCACTGGAAGCAACATTAGCAGGTTCTTAATAATAGTCTCTCCGTTTCTGGCTCGTTTCATCTGACCTTCTTCAACCACTTTGAAAGCAGCTCAGGATCATAATGAAACTTAAACAAGCCAATGCCATCTTTATTAGGGTTGAAGCAAATCGCTGTGACCAAATGGGAATGCATAGCTGTATCTTAATCCATGAAAACTTCTGTCCATAAAAAAAAAACATTGTTCCAGCTCTCAGTCGTTCTACCGTATACGTCACTATAGTTTTCTCCCTCCGTCACTGAGCGGAGTTAGAGTCCTCTGAATGGCAGAGGTTTTTTGGTAAAACCTACTTCATGTTGATGCCCTGAAATTATTACATTGTTAATCGGTAATAATTTTTTGTATACAAAAAAATATTAGGACATTTCAATATCGTACATAAACACCAATGTTGTTTTTATTGATGCACAGTAGATAGATGCATTTCTTATCTCATCTAATGGCTTTTTAGTTCAAACGATTTGCTAATAGATTATTATGAAAGCTAATAAATGATCACTAGTTTACACAAAATAATGCATTGAGTAGAAATAATTTCTTGTTCCTTGCATTGGAGATTACAGAGTCAGACACAAGCAGTGTCACCTGATATTTATGTTTATTCAATCATACTGTAAGCTTCTGTTTATCTATGTTTGCCATTTGGATGAATTCTTCAGTTAAATTGGTATGAATGGGACAAAAAAAAAAAGACATTTAGCTCCACTTTTACTCCTATTCTAACTAAGACTGAACTTTTTGGCCATTCAAGCGACATCTTTGTAAAAATAAAGATTTCTCCTTTTAAAATTGTTTGTTTTGTGACTTGCTGGTTAAAGGTATTGTGGAGGATGTTCTTTTTCCGGGTGGATCATCAAAATTCCACTGATATGTTTACGTAAGGCCATCCTACGGGCTCGTTTTATATCGATATATCCCAGAATGCTTTCCGTGGAGAACTCTCTATTGCATGGTGGAGGAGGAGTTAAATGACTAACGGAGAGTAAAAAGCAGTGATCATCTGTCCAAACGGTCAGTTAACTGAGTTCACTATAAAGTCCATTATATAGTCCCTGCTCTGTATAGGGATGGAAGCTATTAGGGGTTAGGGCAGAAATTCATACACCTTAAGCTTTTGTGAGCTATGAGAACAGCAACTTTTAAACAGAGCATGCACGAGGAGACATGGGCTTGTGTATGCTCTCGCATGTGTTTAATAGGCGTTCCCTCTCAGGATCGGGTACAGGGTTGTGCATGTGCATTTTGTAAAAAGTGGAGAGGGTGGGTCTTTTAAAACATCTGACATCAAATCTTCATTCAACATGTCCAAGTCTTCAGATTGAAGAGAAAAAAACTGATATAATGAATCTAGTAGGTTGGTCCACTTTTCCATAAACTGGTATAGAATGTACCCAAAGGAGAGGGCGTCTTTTATTCTTAAAAGCCTTAGTAACAGTGGTAAGGTTAATTTGTTACAGCTGATTTCTGTGAAACATGCAAAACCATTTTTTTTGTTTTCGTTTAACCTACAGTATATAGATTTTTTTCCAATGAAATATTTTTTTTTGTGGGTTTTCCTGTGAATATTTTTCTGTTGCAGTGAAATTCATTTCTCAGGGCTTTTAAGCTCAAAACACTGAAAAAAGAGAAAAGGATTTGATTTCATGCTTTTTTTCTTGAATAAACTGAACTATGACTCATTTTTATTTGATGCCCATCTGAGTTTTATATTAAACTGAAGTATTGAACTGTCTGACTACGTTTAATTTTCCCACTTTAAAGAACTATGTGCTTTCAAGGCAGAAGGTCCCTAAACGATGGCAGTCATTGGCAATGTGTGGCTCCTGAGGACTTGGGAAAACGTTAATAAGGGCTGTCAAGATCTTAAACTTAAATTGCACTTAGCTGTCTTCAAGTCTGATGCACTAAATGCTAGCTTTTACCTTTTAACCTCACCAAAATGGTCTCAGTGCATCATATTCAAAGTTAGAAGCAAAGTAATTCAGAGTAATAGCTAAAGTTTTAGCTTTAAAGTGTGTCATTTCTCCAGTGGATGAGAAATGCCTTTCCTGACAGTTTTAGGCTTTCTTATGAAACTTAAAAATCAAGTTGCAATGTCTTACTAATAAATACAATATGCTCTGTTTTTATGTCAGACATTGTTTAAGACAAAGGTTTTTTTTACCCTTACAGGTGTACCTTCTTGTTGCAAATCCAAAGACATAACTTCATCAAGCTTTCTGATTCAGGAATGTCTATTGCCTCGAATATGAATGCAGCTAGTGCAAATTATATTTTGGTCTCCTAAATGGAGAAAAAGTTGTGGAGTTTTAGCAACAACCAAACAAAAATTGAAAATAGTTGTTGAAATGTGATGTTTTTTTGTGTATGACTTGGCTTTCTATACAAAGCACAGGCTCGATATGAAAATATGACCCTTATCCTCTGCTTAATGAAAAATGTAAAACTCTCTCACTGTTTTTAAGTTTGATTTAGATTTTAAAATGTAAGTATACATAGGATATTGTTATCTGTGTTTATACAGCACTGTTGTGCATTACCTTACCAAAGTCTCAAAACAGATCAGAAATAATGTTTTGACAAGTCACTCCATCAAACTAGAAAAGTCTTACCCTTATTACAGTGTTAATTATGAGTGTTGATAAAGGCCTTATTTAAAAATCTGTATTTTAGTTATGTTGACTCAGAAATATTTTCCTTTTGAGCAAATTAGATCTTTAAAGAGGACATATGTACATGTTTTCTATCTTTTATGCTATACAACAATTAACCCATGCTTTTTTAAGGAAAAAAACAAGCTATACATTTTACAATATATATCTATAGATATATATATCAATAGATATATATATATATATATATATATATATATATATATATATATATATAGAGAGAGAGAGAGAGAGAGAGAGAGATATATATTCAGCAAAAAGGATAACATGTTACACATATATAAAATGTGTATATATATCCATAAATATGTTCATATATATATATATATATATTCATGTTTTTTGGAATGGTTGTAAAATCTTATTTCATGAATGTTTGTTTCTGCTTATTGTTCCTTTAGACAGGGCTGTTTAAGTTGTCCGATGAGGAGTTTTTCATTCAGTCTCTGGAGAAGTCTGTCGATGAAACCTCAGCACCTCAAGCCCACGCCATCTACAAACGACACGCTCCTCCCCCTGTTCACAGTCCAGTCATCCAGGCCATCTCAGGGAAACAAGGTATCAACGGCACTTGTGGAAACCAAGGTAAATCACAATTCACCTTTAAATATATTTATGAAATTTTGACATAATGGAAATTTACTCAATCTGCATTTTGCTTAGTTGCCACATAAAAATTTATGATAAACTTCCTTAGAGATTCTTATTCATTACTTTTTTCTTGACTGCGTTCTCTGAATCTGATTGGAAATTATGCTAACTTTCTTCTCTCTTCAGCTCCTCCAGGGCTAGTGATTGCTCCGGTTTGAAGAGCCAATTATTATGTCATTGCTTTATATCAGTGGATTTCAGTGGCATATGAGATTGTGCTAAAGTTTTTTATCAAATATAATCTTTAGATTTTGCATCAAATAAATTATTATTATTTTTTTTTTTTAATTGGTGAAAGTTATGTATTTTTATTTTTTTCTTCTTTGCTTTTTTTCCTTATGGTGTCAGGATTCTGCCAAAACTCCATACATGCAATAAATACTCCTATGAGCAGCTTTACTTCATACAGACGCTCATAAACTATTCCTCACGCGCATGTTTAACATCTTACATGCAGAAATAGAGAACCACAGGGCCCCAATACCTCACACACGTGAGTGTTTGTTCTTTCGCTGCACGTGTGGTTTGATTTCATCATGCACGAAGCCTCCCTTCTCCTCACGTGTGAACCTGTTTCTGTGGGCTCATTTCAACTTTTGTCACTTTGAAGGAGTTACCCACCAGAAAAAGCAACCCACCTGTAATTGGCTACTTTTCAGGGAATTCCTCATCTTGTGGCTGTACCCTTCCTCCCACTAGGAAGTAAGCAAGTAAGTTAGCTTTATTTATATAGAACCTTCCACAGAACAAAGCCACAAAGTGCTTTGCAACACAGTTTAAAAACATCATAAAACATACAATATAAAAGGTCAAGGCAATAGTAAACAAGCAAATCAACTTCCGGCTGACCGCTTCTCTTCAGGAGTTGGAAGTTGATAAGTGGAGTCCTCGTTAGATAAAACATGGTCTGGATGAATACTGAATTCTGAGTGGCTATAGGGTGTCGGTTAAAAAGGGGTTACAGGACATCTACAAAAGTTCAGGTCAAATTTCCTGTGTTTCTGCCAGCTCAAACATTGGAAATGGGAAGATGTTTACGCTGGCTACCTTGGCCACCTGTGACAACTCAAGATGCGGGATTTCCTGAAAGGGAGGCAATCACTGGCGGTTCGCTTTGTCCGTGGCGTTACGACCTCAAATGGACAATATTAGACATGAATGCACAGAAGCAGGTCCACATGCGAGGAGGAGGGAGGCTGCGTATGCTATGATCTTCCTGCTATTTCTGGTCATATTTGCTTCATCTGATCTCTTCCTGTTTGGCTGTGACACCATCCTGTAGAAACATCAACTAGGCTTCTGCCATCAGTACCTTCTGTAACAGATGATAGAGTTGAGCCTGTTTTTACTGGTTAGTCCTGTCTCTCCTAGTCATACAGTAGCTATGGGCTCTTTCATATTTTTTATGTTTAAACTGACTCAGAGCTTGTTCCTTTTGTATAACTGCTTCTTTTTGTTTGAACTGGCTTTTTTTTTTACCAATGCCATATTTGAATGATAAATTAGATCATATGCCAAGCATCTGGGCTGAAGACTGACATTTTTTGTCCATAATTTCCTGGCAAGATGCTGCAGTTATCTCCCCATTAATTCTCACAAAATTCAGCTCATACATCCCTAAACAATCAGTGATCTACTTTTGTGTTTTAGAGTTGGCATAATTTTCTTTTCAAAGGCTTTGTCATCTCCTCTCTAAATGAATAGAATAGAACTTTACTGATCTCACAATGGAGAAAATCACTTGTGACAAATGTAAATGTATTTTTGAACACAGGTCACATACAGCAGGTATTTTGCATGGTTCAGAGGATCATGGTTCAGAAACCAGCAGTGTCAGTGCAACAGTGTCAGTTGAGAAATGAATACTGGGAGTATGCAGCGATCTGTCTGGAGAGCAGAATGCCTGAAATGAATCACGTCTGTGCATGGTTGCCTATAGAAACTATATAAAACTCATGTGGATCGACTAGTTTGTAAGGTATCAAATCAAACGTTCCTTGTGGTGTAAAGTCAGGGTTATTTTTGACTTTTTTTCCCCTCATTAATTGTCTAATGAAAAAAAAAAGTTTATCATTAATTTTCCTATCTTGCATAATTCCTTTTGTGAAAAACATTTTAAACTTTTCCTCATTCAGACTCTTTTCACAAGCGTTTTATAAAGTAGTTAAAATGATTTAACAGTATCAATTTAAAACTGTAGTTAATCTTCACCATAGTTTAGGGAAAAAAAACTGCTCATAGGAAACCTGTTCATCTATTATCTTTTATCACATTTAAATCATCATACTTTTCATCTATTCAGCAAAAGAGGTAATTCATTAGCTGTTATGTTGCTAGTAATAGTCTCTGCCAAATTTATTTAAAATCTTATTCAGCTTATGATTTTCTTTTTCCCGTATCACATTTTCAGGGAGCCCACACTGTTCTCATTGATCCCTAAAGCAGTACTCACAGCCGTTAGTCTGTTTAAATAATTTTAATCCAAATGTGCATTTCAATGTGCTGCTGGTGTTCTGGGGGTGCTTTTATGTTCTTAGTCAAAAATATTACTTCCTTATATAAAAGAAAGCTTTTCCAGGCCATTAATATTAAACTTATAAGTTTATAACTCAATTATTTTAGGTCAACCTTAAATAAGTTGTTTGGTAAAAGTGTATGATATTTAAAAGTATCTTAGATGTGTTCATTATTTCAATAGAAGAGATCTATCTATCTATCTATCTATCTATCTATCTATCTATCTATCTATCTATCTATCTATCTATCTATCTATCTATCTATCTATCTATCTATCTATCTATCTATCTTTTTTGTCTGTCTGTCTGTCTGTCTGTCTGCAATATATCTATATCTGTATTTATGTATGTGTGTGGACCTATGCAAGTCCTACAGGTATACAGTGTCTTTCATTAAATGAACAAACACAAAGCCCACTTAGAATCGTTGTTTCTTTAAAACTGAGTACCTCCTATTGATTTTAGTCAATTTTAAAGGGCAAAGAACCTATTAGCTGTTTCAAATCAACCTGATTGATTGAAGTGTAAAAGCAGGATAATCATACTGATGGGTGTTTACACAGTGCCAAATGGAAGGACATTAGCAATTACCTTAGATTACCTGATTACTTGAGATAAATTACCCAGTAAAAACTTGTAAGACACTTGTTAACCTTTTCTAAAAGAACATTTACAGCGAACCAATATATAATATTTTAACTAATGAAATTTAAACCAAATACTCTGGATTCCTTTTTATCTTAGCTACATTAGTTGGATAGTTTCACACCCTCTCTGGCCAAAAATATAAAATGGTTTGTAAAATCAAAAGTCTCACACAGTTTGTTTTCTCATTCTAAGTTTAGAGTTCACATTCTAAAATTTGTACATCTCCAGATTCCTCCAGGACTTTTGAGGGCACTGAGAGGCAGCGAGAAAGATGGGAACGTCGAAATCGAGGGCAAAAGCGTAGAATTCATCGACGCTCAGAAAGCAGGGAAAAATGGGTGGAAACTCTAGTGGTGGTGGACCCCAAAATGGTGGACTATCATGGGAGTAAAGATGTGGAAAGCTACGCCCTTGCTGTCATGAACATCGTAAGTATTTTATATTCTATAAGCAAAATGTGGAGAATATGTAACGATTTGATAAGAAGTTTTTTAAATAGAGGCATTCATTAATATAACACCTGATTTATTCAAAAAGTAAAAAGAAAAATGTCCATATGTGTTTTAGATTAAGATCTGGTAGATTTGACCATAAAATGAGTGTCTAACCCCATTTTACACTCTCTCCAGCTCTGCTGTAACAGTCATTATAATCAATAATAGCAATTACTCAGCCTCTGCACAATAGTGCAGGGCAACGGCTAATGGCCTCCACACCACAAATTTCTATTCTATATTTTTGCCGCTGCAGCAATACTGCAGTTAGTATACAGAAATCCCAGCATCCAGATTTTGAAAATAATTCAACAAAGATGGCTATTATTACTTAAAAACTCACATTATTGATCAGTTCATATATACATGTCTGTATTTTAGCATATCAATAACTGCTTATATTTATTTGATTAAACCATAGCAATTAAACATTAAATGAATCAAGAGAAATAACAAATATAGCTTCCCTGCTCTCGGTTTACTCAACCCTTGTAGAATATAACCCCTATGAAATCTTTGGATGCCAAAAAACAAAAAGGAAACCCATTTTAATAGCTATGACTTGCATAGGATTTGTTGTTTTGGTCTGACTTCCTTATATACAATTGTTTCTTGTTGTGCTATCTCTTAGTGCTCCTTGGAGCTCCTCTAGGTTCCAATCTGCAGCAGGCACTGTAAATTGGTTGGGTGGAGAAGTTTGCAGCTAAATGGAGCTGGGCGCTGTATAAATTAGCTCTCTTTCTCCCTGCTTAAATATTCGCCTTTTTTGGGTTTATATTAGGGTTGTCAAAAGTATCGAAACTCAAAAAAGTATCGATACTGAAATGTTGTATCCGGATACAATACTCGTTTTTAAAAGTATCGATACAGTGCCGTCACCAGTGGCACCTAAGCAGTCATTCATCTAAAGTGCAGAATAGAGGACAATGCACTTTCAGAACACTGTGTGATTGAATAATTCTGTGCTCTTTTCAGTTTCAGAATTTTTTTTGTAAAAGGTGCAGCTGCTGAGAATTATTTTTGTTTCTTAACCGGTTTGGCTAGTGTCATTGTTATGTGTGCAAAGCATAGCCAAGGAAGGAACACTTAATTTTAATTTTATAAGTTTTTTATCAAGCTTGCTTAATATTGTGCACAGCATACAACCTTTATTGTGTTTATTTATTGTATTTTATTTATTAATGAAAATATTTCTGTTGAATTTTGGAGTCTTTGTTTTTATCCTTCCTGGTATCGAAAATGGTATCGAGTATCGAATATTTTCCTTAGTATCGGTATCGAGTTGAAAAGTTTAGTATCGTGACAACCCTAGTTTATATTGTATTTTAATGAAAGGAGCCACTATCATTGGCTAATACAGCTGTCATATAGAAATATTGATGCTTAACAACATATCACTGCAAATAAATTGTACCATGTTAAAAAATCCTTTCTAGTACTATGGCCAAACTCGGTCAAGAGAAAGTAGCCTGAAACTTCATGTTGCTTTCTCTGGCTGTACCATCTTCCCATAATGCAATCTGCTGTGATATCATCCCCTGATAAATGACACAGGTATTTAGTCAGCTTTATGCCTCATAATGCTTTGACTGCGAAAGGTTGTAGTCAAAGAATATTAGTGCATCTGTCAAATTAGAGATGGAAATACAAGCCAGGGATCAAATTCAGCTGAATGTATAGTTTTACTTTTTAAATGCTCTTTTTGCATTTTACATAACAGGTTCTTGTTGATGATATTATTAGTTTTTTTTCTTTTGTTATATGCTTTTTGTGTTACTGGTCAGGTTTAAGGCAGCAGCTTTAGTCTGATCTGTGCTGTCCAAGTATTTCCCTTTAAAGTGCAAAATATTTCATAAAGTTTTCAACTTATGAACTTTTGATTGTTATTATTTTAGACTTTGTCTTTATTTGTAGAAAAAAATATGTACATATTGAAATTAAAAAAATGTTTTGCAACTATAATTGCAATAAATGTTTTTACAATGTCCTAATTTCAAATGGGACTTAATTTAATTATATCTAATGAATACTACATATGGTACCTTTTTTTTCTTGTATTATAAGAAAATATAAATACACTTTAAAATGACACTGTATCGGGAAGTTGGTGCAGAATGAACGGATTCTGGTTGTGGATTTTGTCCGATACAGACAGATTAGGGTTAGGTGAAGATGGGAAGGAGGAGTGAATCCCAGGGTCTCATGATGGCAACAATTAAAAAGATGCCAAAGACATTATTATTTAAATTTGAACAGTTTAGTTGTGGCTGGCAAGATGATCCATGTAAAGTTGTCACAGTGGAATTAGAAAAGAGGAAAACTACTCGCCGTTGGAAAGGATGAGTAACGAGGAGCTGCAAGAATGGCTCACAATCCCAGGAATTAAGGCAAACATGAAGGAGCAATAGTAAACTCATATCAAACCACCATACTGTAAAGTCATTACAGATTAGCACAGCTACAGAGGGATAACTACGGAGAAACATGTCATTTCTAGTTATGACTTCAGGGAATGCTTCTTTTTCTTTCATCAAGTTTAAATGGTATTGCTTTTAAATTTTATAAGTAAACAAATAATGAGGCAAGTTATTATAAAATTAATAATTTGCAAGGTTAGGATGTATGAAACCTTAAATATTTTAGACATAATTAAATTGTCCTGGTCTCTCCCTTTATCTTGGCCTGACACCACTTGGTTAAAGCACAGGGTTTGATAAATGTTTCCATTTAATCTGACAAATATAAGTTTAAGACCTTTAAAAGTTAAAAGAGGTTGCTACGGGTGATGGAGATGAGTGGGGGTGTTGACATTCACAGTTGTTTTAGCCATTAAAGTTACAAACGCTCACACGACACGCAGAGCTTGGTCTCCTTGAAATGCAGAAGACTACACTTTTATTTATTTTACAGATGTCTGAGAGTTTAGGTGGTTCTGGTTGCCAGATGCTATTGCTCACTGATAGTGTACATGGCAATAGTTTTAGATGTGACAGTGTATCACTGATCATAGCCTTTTGATGCACCCACTCATTTTGTTTGATTTAACAGAGTAAAGTAAGGGGATTTATCCTGAATCTAATTTCAAAGGGTTGCCTCTACCTCCTTAGTGTACACCTCCTCTTTAAAGCAGAGAAATATAAAGTTTCTCTTAATTCTTTTTATTTTCATTTGATAAAACATTGACATATATTTGACAGTATGTTTTAATATTTTTATCTGTGACAAATTATTTTAAATATTGCAACACATTTTATAATTTACACAAATTAATATTGAATAATTATATATTTTATAATACATAATAAATCAAGTTAAAGGAAGCTCAGATTGATTCTAGATGCAGGTCCTGGCAGGTACATTATTTCAAGGGCATAATTATTTAAATAGTAAATGATGAACCGATTCTGCATGTATAAGAAGCTGCATTGCCATGACAGCTACACCCTCAGCAGACATGAGCAGCATGGGAGAGAGGAAAGGGCACAGAAACCCACCAGCATTCCTGGATCATGACAGATGGCTTCATTCACAGTGCATTTCTATTGTAAACACACAAAGATCAGCCGCACTTTCAGCTGCCTCCGGCTCTTCATAAATCACAAACCAAGCACATGTGTGCTCCAAGACATAAGGCCAACATAGTAACACCAAAGGATGCATTGAGAGTTTATATTTTATGCAGATTATGGGCGAGTTCCTGAAAACAGATCAATTTGTGTGAAACCCCCTCAGCAGTTTTGTTGTTTTTTCAAGTGTTGCTGACACTAAAGAACATTCATTTGTCCAGAAGTTTGCTGTGTTCTGGTGCATTTCCATGTGACTGGTATAATGTGCCAAATCCAGGCTGCAAAAAGTCTGTCTATGTCCATTTATGCCTAAAAATCATCTGTAAATATTTCAACAAATATACATTTTCTCAACTCAACTGATGCAACAACATATCAGGCAGCAGCATGTTCAATTAGACCCCCTTGCCGCCTCTGGTGTTTTAAAAAATACATGATGGTAAAAAGGCATCTTATTCCCAAGCGCTTTTTATGATAAAGTCTATAGTGTCATCTAAGGAATGGTTTTAATGTGGTCATCCACTTTTGGGCTCTGTAAAATTATGAGGTTTGGCAGCATTTTAAAAATATTGAGGAGGAAATGCTACTTTCTTTTTAATTTTTTTGTTAACTCAGATCTTAATAATGTTTTTCACTATCCTAAGGTATTGTTGCTTTGCATAGTGATTACATATTGGGCTAGATGCCCAAACATTAGCCCAAATGTCCATCAGTCTCGTGGACATTTGGGGGATTGTCGATTTTGTCGGTTTTCAGTCCATTGTTTTTAAATAATGTTTTCCTAAAGTTATGCATTCCCATTCTTTACTTCAAAGTTATATTGCACTAGCTTTTTTGGTTTTGATTTTTTTCTAAATCTGCCCTCTCAATTGCCCAACATGTAAGATGAGCTCTCCTCTATTAACAGCAGTTGCCTCTATAGGCTCCACGAGTCTCATGAGAGACTTATATAGGCTGAATTCTCTAGACGTGGGTTTGATTATGCCTGTTTGCTGTCATTCAGCTGGCTAGTTTATTGAGTCTCAGCTGCAGTTAGAGAACAGGGGTGATGGTCTGTGGAGATGGATAACAAAAATCCAGCTGCAAGTGCCCCTCAAACTCCATCGCAGATTCCACACACGAGTGAGAAAATGAAACTTCTCGGTTCTGCGATGAAAGATCAAATTGGAATCTGATCAACGACAGAATAAGAGTGAAGGGGAAGCTTTTAACATGGATGGAGATCAGATCTGCCCTTGGAGTGATGGTCTATATGCTAAAAAGGAAAAAGGCTCCATTCAAAATAACTCCTAATCTTACATCATTGGACATTTCACCTCTTAAAGAAAGACCTGCTCATTTGCAGCAGCAAACTGCTTTGATTTTTCT